CCCTTACAGTGCCCTTTCATCTAACGATGCAAGGAACAATTAAAGAATAAGAATTTGTTTGGAGGCGGGGACGAGCTTGATAAGCGGCATAACATCATTGACTTCTTCAGCTTGCTCAAGCTGTGTTGGTTTGTAGCTGACATCTGATGACACGACCGTGAAAGCCTGGGAGATAAGAGATAAAGTGATGTCAATGAAATAATGGTGATTATCATAAAGATAATAACCATKATTACTTATGCATAATTAATGATACTGATACAACCACGAATAACATAGTTATTTGACATTTTAACTCCGATAGAAATGTAAAAACTATGAKAACAACATTATTAATAAAAAATGTTTAAGATATGGCGCGCTGTTATTGGCTCATGAACGTGTTTATATAGGAGTTCARATACATGGTTTGGTGCCTGTGCGCATTAAAAGGGTAGAAATTTAMAACGGCCTCCCTTGTCTATGTCGATATAAGCACGATGGTAGATGGAGAGCACCTAGCGTTCCTAGGCTTACTTCTTGWTCCCTCCTCTCTCATCCACCATGTTTATAACATAAGGCAGATGATAATATAATAATATAATAATAATGATAATAAATGATGGGCTGTCGATGGCTGTTAAGAACAGCAAGCGATTGCGATGTCATAACAAAAAGAAATCAATGCAGAATACAAACAAATATAATAGTTATKGCTAATTACCTCTCCACTAAAGACTTTGGGGCTCACTAGAGTAATTCCGTCAATAACCGGCAAAGGGAAGCCTTTATCGCCGTACTCTAAAAAGTAAAAACCTCATTGTATATACACGCATTAAGAAGTGGGCGTTGACGTTTCAAAATGCACACATGAAAACAAGGTAGGTTTTTTTTGGAACAAACGAATTAATCTACAGAGGTTTTGCAAGAGCAGTCAGTAGGATAGGACATAGCGAAAAAACGTCGAATAAAGTATATTTAAAATCGATATTTTACAATGCAACGGCTGAGATCAGAGTTCCAGAGTACTTTTTAGTCATCTTACCATTGAGCGTTTTGATGATGAGATTGTCAACAAAAAGATCAAGAAATACTTGCAGAACTTTAATGTTAGCCTGTTGAACGAAAGATAGCAAGAAACTGTTCAGAAAACAAACAAAACAGCAGACTGAGAAAAAACAAATACAAAAAGAACCAGAAACCAAAAAGACCAACAACAAAAAATGAAAATAAAAGTCTCTCTTTCTTTCGTAGCGATGTTTTACTGATTCGTTCATATTTCATATCTGTATCTACTAGATTGTGGTCATCATAATGGAAGAACTTGTTATACTTACTGAAATATTACCAATGGCGGACCGAACAAGACTAGCGTGCAGCCTAGAAATATCRAAGCACAATTATCAAACCAGAGTAAATAACACAGTAAGTATTATTTAATTCTGATCTGCTTTTTACAGATGTGAACCAAGTAGGAGACTGCGCAAACTTGTTTACATGCGAGTTTACACGAGATAGTCAGCGGGCTAGTTTACTTACTTTACAAATGTTGCATGCGCAGTAATGTTTGTACCAGTGATTGCAACTTTAACGGAGCCTGTAACATTCTATAAAATGTACAAGTCATGCTTTTTTATTATTTATGTCAAGCTATTATTTAAGTTTGACTTCAGCTGGGATTTAGTCGGAGCTGGGCATGCTATAGTAACCGACTCTACTCACCAAGGCAAGAGAGAAAGCAAACACTACTGATCCATTCTCTAGCTCAACGTACATCTCAACATTTCCAATAATCGACAAACCAACGCCTGAAGGTTTGGAGCTCAATACGGGYACTTTGGTTGGATAGACTTTAAGCTGCATTGGACGACTGGGATATTTTTCGTACAGCTACGGTACAAAACAAAAAAGCACTATATATACCTATTTTTAAGAAAGATTGTCGGATAACTGAATGGCAAATGACAAATGACAATTTTCAGAACGGAAACGACCGAAAGAAGCCATGGGTTTCGCTAAAATGGTAAATATTAACTGATTTATGTTGTAACATAGTTTGTACCGCAACATTGGCTCCATTTCACGCAAAGTGGACCAAACAAACAACTGAACATTTGTAGAGTGAAACACCGTAACCATAGTCCCTTTCGGTCGTGCAAATATGTCCCTTCGACAATAGCCGTTTGCTGTTCTTCCGGATGTTTTAAGTTTTTATCTATATGACTGTGGTACATCGGGCAATAGGAAACAACAGCGATTCAACAGGATGATCGATGAACATCCYAACCTGCAGTTCCATTCAACAACTTTAGTTTATTACTGAATTGATACATAAAGTGTGTTTTAACAATAACAATCAGACATTACCAGTGGAACCAGAAGCTTGAACGTGTTGGTGTTTAATGGGTATTTAAAGCTCTTTGGAACCTGAAAACAATGATACATTTTACTCACAAAGGCAACTCTTACTAGACATAATTAAATGTAAGACAACATTTATCAAGTACGCATGCATCTGTAGACYTACATCATCAGGTTTTATCGTCCTGTTCATGAATCCAGCTTTCATGTAAACAAAGCTCGCTGAGTTAAAAACATAATCTGAGATCCATCCATATAACATTGAAGTGGAATTGCTACTGCCTGGAAATGGTTCTGGTGAGAATGGTGCTTCACTGGGTTGCGCAATAGACTGAAACTCTCCCTTAAAAAGCAATTAATATATTATATCATTATTTGGCTCCAACACGTCAGTAAGTTGTTTCACCTACTTTTTTCTACTAGTTCACCGCTAGTTCCCACCATTTTGACTATTATATCATCCACTAATTTTATTTCTTGGATAGCTATAATACTTTCAGTTTTGCAGAAAACGAGTCGCTAGTTATCTCCTCAGTGAAATGTTCACCACTATTTGATAAGCATACCTTGAGTAGAATGTCAACGTAAGTTTGTGTGATGACAGGGCTCTCCACCAGTGCGTAGTTTATCAAGGAGTATTTATCGAGCTGTTTTKTGACTGAAAAGCAATTACAAAAGACATCTATATATATATGATAAGCTGCGAGTGCSCAGGCYGTCGTAGTGTAGTCAGGAGGACTGCCACCAGTTTGTAATAGTGGAACAAGGTTTGCCAGGAACATTTTTTGTTAAACGTGGCGGGCCAACTAGTATATTATGTTATTCTCTGGAATAAATATACACTGACATAAACGGGTAAGCAGAATAAACAAGCAGGACAATACAACATGACTGCAAACATAGAATTAAAAAATAGAATTTATCAGAGGTAACCTGGAAATTTTTCCACGGCCTTTGCTCCTTGATCATTGATCGCAGACGTTGCAGCTTTGCAAAGCTGTTGAAATGGATATATTTTGTTAACAAAATGTTACTATAGAGCAGCAACCTTTAAATTTCTTTTTACCTCTGAGTTAAGAGAGCTTTTCACSGAACTAGCAATTTTGCTATCAAACAGATTGTACAGCCAGCTGAAATGAAAATAACTGTAAGTGATCTCCCTCTAATACGAAGAAGCAAAKTGAACTATAAAGTAGTACGCCGGATAGATGGGCACAGATGGGCAAGGGAARCTGGAGGGTAAATTGGTTGACACAGGAGGTGTAAAAGACAAGTGAAATTATAGTTATGAGGGATTAAAAGGAACAAAGTAGGAGAGAACAAGCGAAAAATAACAGACCCATGAATAACAAGCCAAACAATTACAAAGTCATTTTTTTCGATGCATAATGCGAGTGAAAAAAAGAAGGAAGATACTTAAGAAACTTACAAACAATGGAAAAAGCCTCAGACAATCTACCGATGATCATATTCATCAAGAGAAGCATGCAAACAAGTATTATAAAACTCATTAATATTCATAAGGCAAAACACAATAGAAATCATAGCCCATGAAGAGAGTTGTATATTACATACAGATCGCCCGCTCATATTGTATATATTACTTAAACAATACCTTGCTCCTCCAGAGAAATGAATACTGACGCCTCCAACACTAGAGGAACAGCCTGCTGAAGCAATGGTTGGATGTCCTTGAGAATCCGCTCCTGTAAAWCGCAGGTCATTGCAATTCATTATACTGTTTTACATTAAAAAAAAGATAAATGAAATTTACCAAGTTTAATCTGGACATCAAAGGAGATTCCACTTGCAGAGAGAGAAAAGCTTCCACTGTCGCTGATATGAGGCCTGAGGACATAACAGAATATCTGAATCTCCACGCTAATGACTTTTTTCGACTGCAGTCATATATCTTGATGGTCTCCTMTCGTGAAGAAGATATT